CATCTGGTGAAAATTTCATGTCATTTGCACCTCTAGTAATATATTTACTGAGAAAAATGGTGACGTTACTTATTTTACCTGCTGTACTTACTGATAGACTGTGAATAAAATATGGCTTTATGAGATTTACAGATCATTTTTATTTACATTTTACACGTCTCAACTTTTGTGGAATTGGGGTTGTAGGTTTGTGAACAAAATTCCAACATCCAACTTTCTTTAAAAAGCACAGTAGGAATGTAAAAAATCTAAGCTGACAAAATGTCAATGTTTTGATTTGTAGAAAACATGTAGAGAACCAAGACCTAAACAAACATCAAGGCTATTTCCAGTGGCTTATTGTGGTCGTCTCAGTAACCACCTGTGTCTGTCACTCCCTGGCAAACCAAAGTGGATCATCAGACGAGCAGTTGTGGCAAAACAAATAAAATTTCTGGATAAATGTCAGAAACATCTGGTCATCTCACATTTCCATTTTTATGCATCTACAGTGCTTCATAAAAAAAAGACAAGTTAAATGACTTTTTACTTCCTGTTTGAAAAGTCAGTTTATATTCAAAGGGAAACTGTTTGAGCTTGGCTGAATGATCTGAACTCTGATGGGATTTGAAATGCAGACATGTTGGGTGAAACATGCTGACATTTGGATGAACAAACTGTAAAAATTGCAAAGACTATGGATATGAGAAGCTTGGTAAATTATTGTAAAGTTTAAGCTCAAATGTAAATGTTTTGCACCACATTAAAGGTTAAAATTATGTGGTAATTGAACTGTGATTTTGTAAAAATAAATAACTGGTATAAAGGTTGTTAAAAAGCAGCAGAGATAACATACTGACAGTTTGAGACTCAGTATTTGAGCAGTTTGCTTCAGTTCAGTAAAAATAAAAAACTAAGTTGTCTCACTGAAACATCTTAATTGTTTGTCCCAACACAGACAGAATGTCCCAACACAGACGAGCTACATCTAACGGCCAGAACTCTGCAGTTTTCACTCATTTACAGGCCAGCGGTCACTCTTTCAGAGATGAGGATGTTCTCATTCTTGATAGAGAGGAACGTTGGTTTGAGAGAGGAGTAAAAGAAGCCATTTTTGTGAAGAAAGACCATCCATCATTAAACAGAGGTGGAGGCCTCCGTTTTCAGTTGTCCCCCTCCTACAGCGCGGCTATTGCCAGTATCACTCCACCCCCTGTTAACAATAGGTGTTAATTAGGTGTCAACAATAGCCATGTGATGTATCAGTCACATGGAGGCAGGGCTTAAAAGCCTGAATTTTGCCTGAAACTCTCAGACTGAAGAAGTCTCTTGGAGGAGAGACGAAACGTTTCATTAGAGAAGAACCCGTCCAGAAGACCTATACAATTTTTTTCATTTTGATTTTCTTACCTGGATTACTGAGATGCATCAGGACATCTTAATTGTATTCAAATTTAGGCTTTTAGTTTAAACTGAGTCTCTGTTCTCCTGCAATAACTTGACAATTAGTGTAACTTTTCCCATAAAATAATGTGAATGATCAGTTAGCAAACATTTACAATTTAAATCCCTAAAACCCAAACCAGTGAGATAAAATGTTTAATTTGGAGAAACAATAATTAAAATAAATTTAAGTTTACCTCTCAAATGACTGCCTTACAAATTTAGTCTGATTCTGGCTTTTGTTTCACGGTGCAGAAACTGTTTCTCCAAAGGCAAAGCTGCCAATAAAAATAAACACACAAACAGAAAAAAATGGACATGAAAACAGATTGCGTTCCTGCTTTTTAGTTGTTTTCAGATGTTTGCTTACAAATCAACTGTTTGTGCATTAAAAATCTTCTAATACTGATAACATAAAGCCACGAGGAATGAAAAGTCGCCGTAAGTTTGCATATACCCTGCTGGAATACCTGTGTGGAGTAAGAAAAACAGGCCGACACAAACATGAAAACAGAACATTCAGTGCAAACGTTTACACCTTGTACCTCAGAGCACAGACACCAAAAGCAGAGAAAAGATCAATTATCTTGTTTAATTACAATATTGAAGCATAGATGCAATATTTGTGAAAAAGGTAGAAAAAACACCCAAATTTTTCTCAATAAATTAAACCTTTCTGGACGAAGAGCAGGGCCGGTTCACACAGCAGAAAACTTTTTTTTCTGTGAAGCATTCAGGTTCGATGAAACAAAAAGTTATGATGCGAAAACAAAAAGTGCGAGTCCTTTCTGACCTTAACCTCTTTTAAAAAAGTAAAATATAGAAAATACAAGTGGCTTATGTGACTTTCCTTCCACCCGTTTCCACAGGGTTTCACAAGCTTTTTTTTTTCATGAAACTTTATAAGTTTCCATCGTTTGACCGACAATCAGCTCAATTATAGTTGGTAAAAAAAAAACAATAACAATAATTATAAAGACAGTAATAACACGAAATGTAAGTAATAAACACAGTCCTGTACAGTCAGGCTCATCTTCTGATAAACCAGCGCCAAACGGATCGATCAGTCTTCAGCTGCTACAGACGCGTACTGACTGAAGAAAAGTTTTGGATGCCATCGAGTCATCTCCATCTTCATCTCCTCTCAGCTGCCCACGACTATGGTTCAGTGGAAAAAGCCTTTTCCATTTCATATCTCCGCTGCTGTGAAAAGCAAAGAAAAATTTAGTAACTTGTTTAAAAAAAACAAAAAAACGGTTAAATCAAAATTTAAAAGGTTTTTAGGCACTTGGGGGCAGCAAAACCCACATGTGACCACAGAAGGACCACAGGTTTCAGCCTCAACTACAGAGGAAGTCTTTTCAATAAAAAACCCTCCTTTTATTCTAGGCCAGAGGCTGTTACCCTCAATTTACGCTACATAAGTTCCGTCTTCGCTCCGCTCCGCTCCGACCTCCGCAGCAAATACACACCTTTTATTATCAATGAGAGTGTTTACACTGGCTGTGCACAGTGGTGGTGAGCGGACGGTGATCCGGCAAAATTAGAATAGAACTGGACGCCGGAGTCAATTTTTAAAGATTACGTCGCACCAACAGGAAAAAAAACTAGCACAACGTCCGTATTTTCAAAATAAGACAATATTAGGCTGGATAATTTGTCGGAATAATGTCAAAATTGCAGCTATATTAATAAATATACAGATATATTTCTACACAAATGCTGTCAGAATGTATCGTTCTGTTTGGGAAGCAGATGGAAACGTAGCATGAAGCATATGTGTACACACACGATACATGTGGATTTTATTTTGAAATCAAAAGTTTCAGAAAGACGACAGCGAGACAGTTTCAGCCATAGATATCAAAAGTCTTTATATCAATGTTTTCAGCTGTGTTTGGAGTTCGTTGATCACAGAATTAATTGTTTTTTGCTGCGACTTCTGCTTTTATCAGTGGATTTATCGCGCAATCCCTTTCCTGCACACCCTCCAGACACCCTCCTCTGTCTGTCGGACCGGAGCTGAGCACAGCGGATGTTGTATAAATTGGGGCACAAATGAACAGCTGCGATCTGCACAGCGCAGTGCAGCAGAGACGCATGTAGTATAAATCCAGGGTTAGTGTGTTCAGACCTAAGCCCTGATATACTGTAAATACTGGTCAGACTCTGACTCCAATATTTAAGGCTGGATGGACAAGTCTTCTTTTGTTGACAGCTTTTAATTCATTTGTAAATGAAAAGTTTCTGAGCAGCTATATAGTCACAAACCCCTCTATCAAAGTACAGTTGACCACTCTGGAAGGTGGAAGGGTGAGAAGCACCACGTTTGGATTTAAAAAAACAGAATCAAAATGAGTTGAACTGAGACACGGCTCAGAAAGAGGGGCTTGTGGAGTTACAATGAGGAATTCAGACCAAAGCGTTGCAGTTCCACTTTATATAGAACACAACTGAAAGATTTTAAATGTGAAAAAGAAGAATTTAAAAGCATGCAGCCTTTAAACTATAACTGTACAAACAAACAGTACTGTGCAAAAGTCTTGATGCATATTTTGTTCTTAAGTACCCAGACTTTTCTCTGCAGAAAAACAAAATAAAGCTGCTAAAGAAGGTTTACAAGCTGCTGGATTATAGGTCTGGACTTAAGCTTTTTCATGACTTCACTTTAGATTGGAAGATACTGACTTAATGGAATCTGATGTGTACTTCTACACAGCTGAGGTTAGAGTTGAATATTTTCAGCACCTTGTTAAGACCTTTTTAATATGTACTGATGAGTAAAACCTTAGACTATTAAGAAGATGGACCTTTTCCCATGAATACATCAAACAAACAGAAGATGTGTGAGAGAACCAGGCAGGACTGTGAGTCTCACCTTAGTGGGGTTTGCAGTACAGATTGTTCCTAAAAGGCCTTCAGTCCAGCTCGTGTACCTCGTCCTGCAGGGAGGCTGAGGGCCGGCCTGCATCACCAACACGTTTGGCCATGATGTCCCACTGAGGAGTCAACGCTTTGGATTTGGTACCTATAATGATTTAGAACATGAGTCGATTGCAGCACAGATCAAAAGCTGTTTTTGAATCTTTATTGGGATGACTGCAGCAGTTCTTCAACATTAAACAACACGAAAAATGTTTAAATCTCAGTCAGGTTAACAGATATCAAGTTGAAGTTTGGTGTGGTCAAATCTGACAGACCTTCACAGAACGCACTCTGAGATGATCAGATCACATGGCTGCAACTCTCAACAGAATATGATCTTAGTTTATAAAAGATGTTGGGCGATATGCTTTCCTTCAAAAGACTTTTATAAAACTGTTTTGTTTTAATTTAACAATTGGAATGAATGGAGATTTCCCAAGGGCCACTTCAGGCCCACAAGCCATACGTTGTAACTGTGAATTTAAGGTTCTCAACCAGAAACCTAAAAACTGAGACAATGGAAAAAACCCATTAAACTCACAACTTGAAGCAATAAAATAACCAAACAATAGAAAAATTCTCTACATGTTTGATACATTTTGTAAAAATTTGATTTTAATCTGTTAGAACATGCATTAGGGAGAAAATCTGGAAATACAAACATTTCTTAATTTTCGGTTTTCCTTTTTTCAGTATTTATTAAGAAAATACAAATGTCGTACTTTGTAAGACTGTTTAGGCAGATGGTTAATCCACTGTTTGCATCAGTTCTTTACCAACAGTCTTCATTTTCAAAAAAACTAAAACTTGGTTCTTGTAAAGCCAGATCTGTTCTCGACACATTAGCCCAGCCTGGGCCTGAGGTGGGCTCACAGACCAGTGGAAGTGGGCTCCCTCAGGACGCCAACTTCCCTTCTCAGTAGGGCTGCAACTAACGATTATTTTAATAATTGATTAATCTGTTGATTATTTTTTCCATTAATCGATTAATCGGCCAAATCATTAAAACACTTAATTACATGAATATGAGTAGATATTAATTAAGGTAACTCCTTAAGGATGGAAGTTATTGATAATGAATTAATATGAAGTTGATTTATCTTATAGAATGATTAACAATTAATTAATAAGCAGCCATTTTTAAAAAAAACGGAGTTTTCTCTTGAATCAAGAGGGTCTTCCCATAAAATGAAGGATTTTTTATAATCTGAATTAAAAAACAGAAGCACATAATACATATTTTAACAATTTATTTTGCCAGCTGTATTAAATACTGACTGAAAAAAATGTGTATTTCTCCAACATGAAACATAACAGAAATTTAATAGGTTGCTGAATGAGGAAAATAGATTAAAATAATAAAATATAGATTAAA